AGAATTCCTCAGGCTGGAAAAGACCTCTGGGATCACCAAGTCCTTCTGTCCCCCAGCACCATCACAGCCACCACTGACCGTGTCCCCAAGGGCCACATCCGCACCCTCTTAGGACATTCCTGGGATGGGAACTCCAGCACTTCCTTGATTCCACCTCAGCCAATGCTTCACAACCCTTCCCTGAGAAAATGTTCCCAAACCCTGCCCTGGCCCAGCCTGAGGCCGTTCCCTCTGCTCCTGTCCCTGTTTCCTGGAGCACAGCCCGACCCCCCCGGCTGTGCCCTCCTGGCAGGAGCTGTGCAGAGCCACAAGGGCCCCTGAGCCTCCTTTGCTCCAGGCTGAGCCCCTGCCCAGCTCCCTCAGCCCCTCCTGGGGCTCCAGACCCTTCCCCAGCTCTGTTCCCTTCCCTGGACAGGCTCCAGCCCATCCATGTGTTTCTTTTCCAAACCTGCCCCCAAAATTCGAGGTGTGACCTCACCAATGCTCAGCATGGGGGACTCTGAACCTTTTGCCTCCAGCAGGAACAAAGTGGCACCAAAATTTTCTGATTCTCCATCAGTGGAAGGAAATTGAGGATTTGGTGTTTCAGAGTGTTGGGACAGCAGTTGTGGGTTTCTCTGAGTCTGGATTGAAGGCACTTGAGACTGTAGTTCATATTCAGACTCAGGTGCTTATTATTTCTTATCAGTGAAACAGTCTCACTACTGTGAGTTTGGCAGCTTTTCATTAGAAGGAACAAAACGGTCAGCAATCTCTGGTTACAAGGTCTTTTAAGACTAAACTATCAAATAAAGAACTGACAGTTAGATTATTTCTCTTTTAACACAATAACTGTTCCCTGGAAGCACTCAATGCAGACTTTTCCACCCAATTACAAAATGCCACCCAAACCCACGGAAAAGAAGGAGGAAGAAGAAGTATGAAGAAGAAACCCAGGACAACACCCTGTGCCTTCCATCTTGCTGCCATCCACAGCATACTAAAAATCCCAAAATCTAAATTTCTCACCAAGTGATGCACCTACACTACTCTCTATAATCTATTTCACACTTTTGTGGATTCCAGTCTGTTCTGGAGTTTAGGAAACTTTCTCCATGAATGAGGGTCAAAGTCAGTGCTCTCCTGGGGGTCAGGGCAGAGCAGACAGAGAAATATTCCTGGTGCTCTGGGTTTCCACATTAGAGCATCACTTCTGGAGTCAGGATCCATGGGTTTGAGGGTGCTGGAGGAGAGGCAAAGCCTCTCCCTGCCGGGACACGTGAAGGCCACAACAGCAGCAAGGCCACGCTGGGGCCAGCACGGGCTGTTCACAGTTTATGTGTTTACCTTGCAGGAGGCTAAGGAAGAGCTCAAAATGCATATTTTCCTCCTGAAATATTGACTCCAGTGTTCTCCTTCTCAGGGGCCTGGGGAGAAATGATGTTTCATATTTTAAAAATAAACACTGCTTTTCCAGAGGCGTCAATGCAGCCCCAGAGCTCCCAGCACACCTTTGCCTCTCGCACTCTTTTCAAAGCTTTAATGCTGCTTGTGTGCCACAAGCTCTGCTGGTGAAAATATCCACCTGAAATGTATTTATCTTTGCTAATTAACAGCAGAATGACACAGAGCAACTTTATATTTTCCCTGCAAGAACAGCCATAGAGGTTTCATTTACAGAGGGCTCTGAATGATCCCCATTCATGGGGAGCAAGTGCTGTCTGCACCAAGAGATCCTTGTGTGCAGGGCAGGAAAACAGGAGAAACCCCAGCCCAGACAGGTCCAGGGCAAAATCTCCCAAATTTCAGGTTTTTATTTCACTGTGGGCCCTGACAGTCATGAATGGATGGGGGCAGTTTTATGAATTTGGGGAGCAAACTCTGTGTGTGTGAACACGGAAGGGGATTGTTGTGTTTGCACTGCCCTAAATCCATGATTTTATAAATATATCCATGAAAGTATCCACAGAGGAAAGGAAGGGGGTGGAAAGGACCTGAAATCCCACCCAGTGCCACCCCAGCCATGGCAGGGACACCTCCCACTGTGCCAGGTGCTCCAGCCTGGCCTTGGGCACTGCCAGGGCTCCAGGGGCAGCCACAGCTGCTCTGGCAATTCCAGCCCAGCCCCTGCCCACCCTGCCAGGGAACAATTCCATCACAATATCCCCTCCAATCCCACTCTTTTTCAGTTTGAGGTCATTCCCTGGCTCCTGTCCCTTCATCCCTTGTCCAAAGTCTTTCTCCATCTTTCCTGCAGCTCCTTCAGGCAGCAGAAAGTCTCAATGAGGTCACCCCAATCCTTGTCTTCTCCAGGCTGAGCAATCCCAATCCTGCCACCCTTTCCTCATGGCACAGCTGCTCCATCCTCACCTGCAGCATTTCCTCCTCCTGGCTGAAAATCTGTCAGCTCCAGAGGTGGCTGAAAGCTTGGGACTGATGCTGTGGCAGACAGTGGGACAATTCCATGCTGATTTTGCATGAGAACATTGCCAGATTTTGATATTTTAATTAAAATCTTTAATGTTAAAGAATTAAGAGGGGCCTGGGAGCTTCAGTGAGGACAGGTCCTTCTTTCCCCTCATCAAAGGGCCTTTCTCCCAGGGAGCTCCCAGGCTGCTGAAGAGCTTTTGGAAGAAAGACTCTGGAAAAGGGAAGAGAAAGTGTGCTTTGAGTTAAAGGTACTTTGCATGGCCCTGCGCTCACACAATGCAGATTAAATGGATGAGGGATCCAAGGATGTGCTGCTGAAAAAGGTGAGCAAAACCCAGTCCATGTGAGGAGCAGGGCTTTAATCAAGTGACAGCAGTGTAAAACAGTCGTTAAAAAACCAGAAAAAGATGCACTGCTTTGTGACAAATCCATCATTAAATCTCTCTTCTCCCGCTCCCAAATCTCCCTGCTGCTCCTCCACAAAGGAAATTTCGCCTCATTTGCAGCACCCTCAGCCTTGGTGGCTGATTGAGACTGCTGGGTTTCCGTCAGGAGCTGCATCTCCCTCGTGTGTGCGGAGCTGAACGCTGCACTGCCAGCTCAGTCAAACCCGCAGCTGTCTGTCTGTCTGTCCGTCCCCAGCCTCTCCTGTTTATCTGCTTTGGGCTCTGGAGCCCGCTCTGCTCACAGGGGCTCAGCCACACAGAGCAGCTCCTGTTCCCTGCAGGGAAATTCTTCTGCATCCGGATTGTCACCGTGCTCCCATACCCTCCTCTGCCCTCCTGAGCCTCTCTCCACTGCTCTGAGGGCAGCAAAGGCCCTGGTCCCACAGGATGCTGTCCTTGGCTGGGCACAGCGGGGATTGAGAGGGGACCGTGTGACACTGCCACTGTCCCCTTTCTCTGGGCTCTGCAGGAGGGAGTACATGAGCCTGGTAGCCCCATCCTTCTGCTTTGCTGTGCCTCTCTCGGCTGCTGCTCTGAGCCAAGCCCCTGGTCCCACAGGATGCTGTCCTGGGTTTGGCTCCGGTGGGACTGAGAGGGGACCGTGTGACGCCAGCACTGTCCCTTCCCTGGGCTCTGCAGGAGGAATGACACCAGCCTGGCACCCCGAGCCCTCTGCTTTGCTGTGCCCCTCTCTGCTGCTGCTCTGAGCCTTCCCCCAAGGCTCACAGGGATCCCAAAGGGATCTCCAGCCCTGCCCTTGGCACAGGTGGGACTGAGAGGGGACCGTGTGACACTGGCACTGTCCCCTCCCTGGACTCTGCCAGGGGAAGGACACGAGCCTGGCACCCCAGCCATCCTGTGCCTCTCTCGGCTGCTGCTCTGAGCAAAGCCCCTGCTCCCACAGAATGCTGTCCTGCCCTTGGCACGGGTGGGACTGAGAGGGGACCGTGTGACACTGGCACTGTCCCCTCCCTAAGCTCTGCAGGAGGGAGGACAGCAACCTGGCACCCCCATCCGTCTGCTTTCCTGGGCCCCTGTTTGCTGCTGCTGCTCTGAGCCAAGCCCCTGGTCCCACAGGATGCAGTCCTGGGTTTGGCACGGGTGGCACGGGTGGCCCCGGGTCATTGAGCCTCGCTGGGCTCTGCAAAAAGAAGGACAGGAGCCTGGCATCCCCATCCTTCTGCTTTGCTGTGCCTCTCTCTGCTGCTGCTCTGAGCCTTCCTCCAAGGCAGGGATCCCAAACGAATCTCCAGCCCTGCCCCTGGCACAGGTGGGACTGAGAGGGGACCGTGTGACACTGGCACTATCCCCTCGCTGGGCTCTGCTAGGCGCCCCGAGCCCTCCTGTGCCTCTCTCGGCTGCTGCTCTGAGCAAAGCCCCTGGTCCCACAGGATGCTGTCCTGGGTTTGGCTCCGGTGGGACTGAGAGGGGACCGTGTGACGCCAGCACTGTCCCCTCCCTGGGCTCTGCAGGAGGAATGACACCAGCCTGGCACCCTGAGCCCTCTGCTTTGCTGTGCCCCTCTCTGCTGCTGCTCTGAGCCTTCCCCCAAGGCTCACAGGGATCCCAAAGGAATCTCCAGCCCTGCCCCTGGCACAGGTGGGACTGAGAGGGGACCGTGTGACACTGGCACTGTCCCCTCGCTGGGCTCTGCGAGGCGCCCCGAGCCCTCCTGTGCCTCTCTCGGCTGCTGCTCTGAGCAAAGCCCCTGGTCCCACAGGATGCTGTCCCGGGTTTGGCACAGGCAGGACTGAGAGGGACCGTGTGAGGCTGCCGCTGTCCCCTCGCTGTCCCCCCGGCCCTGTTCCCCAGCCCTGCGGGCGGACAGCCCCTCCCAGGGCTGCTCTCAGTGCTGCCACTGTTCCAGCCCCGCATTCCGCACCTTCCCCCGCTCCCAGAGCTCCCGGTGCCCTCGGCAGCAATGGGGCCATTGTGGGGGGCTGGGGGCCCCGGGGGCAGGGCAGGGCTGGGCATCGCCCCCTCCCCACCCTGCAGCAGCATCTCCTCCTGCTCCTTCTCCCTGCCCCTCTCCCCTCGCTGCCCCCCCGGCCCCGCCGTGTCAGGGGCTGGCTCGGAGCCTCCGCAGAAGGGCAGGTTAATACTCGGGGCCAGCGCTCTGCCCCGCACTCGCAGCCCGGCTCAGCCATGGCCAGGATTTGCTGTGCCCTGCTGCTCTCGCTGCTGCTGCTCCTGCACAGCCCGGCCGCCTGCGGGGCCCCGCCGCAGCCCCGCGGTGAGTGGGGAGCGGGGCTGGGGGGCTTGGGGGGCTGGGGTTCCCTCTGTGCCTCCGGGGCACGGGGAAGGGTAAGGAGTGCCCAGCAACAGCCAGGGAAGGGTAGGAGCTGTGTCCGGTGTGTCCCCAGGGCAGCGGACCTGGGGCTGTGGGGAAAATACGGGGTGACTCCGTGGGGACAGCACGGGTGGCCCGGTCACCCCTTGGCGCTGGAGGAGGCCCAGGTGGGACAAGGGCTCTGCCTTCCCTCCCCTCTCCAGCTCCACAGGGGCTGGAGCAGGAGCTGGTGCCGGGGACACCTCCCGAGCAGGAGGGCTGGGTCCGGTTGCTGGGAACGGGACTTTCCCTGGATTTCCTTCATCCGATCCTGAGCGAATCCTGCTCTGTTTGGCTTCCCAGGTGGGCAGCCAGGAGCAGGGGAGCTGCCTGCTCTGCAGCTTGCATGGGCTCCAAACCCCAGCCTGGAATGAGTGCCAGCAAGGGCTGGACACCCAGGGAAGGGATGGACACCCAGGGAAGGGATGGACACTTGGGGCAAGGATGGATGCCCAGGAAGGGATGGACACCGAGGGCAGGGATGGACACTCAGGGGCGGGGATGGACACCCAGGATACCCAGGGAAGGCATTGACACCCAGGAAGGGATGGACACGCAGGGCAGGGATGGACACCTGGGGCAGGGATGGACAACCAGGACAGGGATGGACACCGAGGGCAGGGATGGACACCCAGGAAGGGATGGACACCCAGGGAAGGGATGGACACTGAGGGAAGAGATGGACACTCATGGCAGGGATGGACACCCAGGAAGGGATGGACACCTGGGACAGGGCTGGACACTTAGGGCAGGGATAGGGAGGGACACCTGGGACAGAGATGGTCACCCAGGGAAGGGATGGACATGCAGGGAAGGACTGGATACCCAGGGAAGGGATGGACATGCATGGAAGGACTGGACACCCAGAATAGGGCTGGATATGCAGGGAAGGGAGGGTCTGGTCCTCAGGAGCATCTCTGCTCTTCCTGGGGCTCCAGACAGCCCAGGGATTCCTGGATTTCTCCAGAAATCACTGCAGGAGAGGCAAACTCAGCTGCAAGGGCAGACTTGAGGGAATTCAAAATGTTTGGAGAGTGTGTTGATGATGGCTCAGCCACAGCCATGGGCAGCCTGAGCTGTGCAGGTGTGACAGTGACTGCAGAGGCACCTGGGGCTGAGGGAGGGGGGATTGCAGATAAACTGAGCCCTTTCTCCACAGGAATTTGGGAAAGGAGGGTTCTCTTTGCTGTGCAAAGAGAAACAGAGCAGTGACTGAGCTGAGCCCTGCTGTGAGCAGTCAGCTCTCTAAAATAAGCCCCTTTTACTCCTGGGTTACTGTGCTATTCTCCCAGTGCTTTAATGGATATGGCAAAGATGCCCTGAGAGGAATTTTCTGCTAAGTCAGGGCATTAATTCAGCTTTTCCTGAATGATTCCTAGTGTGGATATTTGTAAATATAGAGTAAGACTTTATTTCTGGTTTAATTCCAGTTTGAACTAAACTATGCTGAGTCAAGGTGCCAATCAGAGCAAGTGACTGTCACCCCCTGGAGAGAATGGGCCTGTCCTGCAGCCCCTGACTGAGGCTGAAATCCCAAAATTCTCCCACCTGATATCCCTCCTTTACTCTTCCCTTCTCTGAAATAAACTCCACTCTCATAAAAAGAGCTTGAAAATGTTATTTAGGGTCAAATCACAGAGCAGAAATAAATAAAATAGATAGACTTCAAAATTTCTATTGGCTCCAGCTGTTCTTAGGGAAATAAAATAACTTTTGCTGCTTGGTTTGTCACTAAATCCAGGGATGATTCAGCACAAAGGGGGAGTTGTGTTTTATTTCTGGAGGAATTAATTGAGCCTTTCCCTGGACCTTCATTTCTCACCTGTAAACTGCCCCCCCCCCCCCACCCAGAACAGGGATTCATGGATCTCCCTGGGAGTTTTCCTTCCTCTGCAATGAATTATGGGGGGAAAATGAAATTCATCCATATGGGAAAAATGTTAGATTGGATTGTTGTGGGAATTAGAGCTCCTGACAAAGTGACCACTGCCTGCTCTGCTCCCACCTTCCCAGACCTTTCTGGAGCAAATTCAGCCTTGATGCCTCTCAGGAAACAAACCTGATTATTTCATTTACAGATCCATCACTGAGTATTTATTTTTATCTGCCTCAAAGACTGAAAGCCCCATTAGATCTCACACTGAGGACCAGCTGTAATATTTATGCCATCATTTGGAGATTGTTGGTCCAGATTTGTTGGTCCAGAAGCTCCTATTTAAAAATCTGTCCACAGAAATCTCCTTTATGACAGGAACTCCCTGGGCCCTGCAGAAATCAAATATTAACAGAGCACTTGACAGAGACAGGCTAAATGAGAAGAAAAAAATTAAAAAGAACAGGATGCCATAGATCTGCTGGGGGAAATGGGGCCATTCATTCAGGAAATCATAAAAAAAACACCAGGCTTTTTTTTTATGTCTTGCCACAGCTGAAAATGAAGATGGAAAATGGCATGAAAGTGAGAAATTAAAATAATAATAATAATAATAACAATTTATTCCATTTGTTGCATTGCTGATGCCTCCTGATAGCCTCTCCTTTTCACTGTGGGTATTCATGGGGCTATAGAGATTAATTATCTATTATTAATTATCAATTATGGGTTCCAGATTTCTCTGTTGTTTCCCCCTGACAGATGTGAACCAGCTCTGTGCTGTTACTGGGGTTTATTATTGGTGCCATCAATGGGGAATGGGGCTCTGGCTCCTGCTGTGCTGGGAATGTTATCCCTTAACCTGGGAATGTTGTTCCCAATCCCAGCTGATTGCTGAGTCTTGTGCCTGGTGCTGGTCCCATTCCCATTAACTGATACCTGTGGGGATTGGTTATCCAGGTCTGAGGTGCAGTAATTCCTTTCCAGCCTTTTTTGGATGCAGAAATGCAGCTCAGGTTTCAGCCCACAGTTTTATCCTTCCTTCCCTTCCCT